AAATCATTCGCTAGAAAAATTTAAATACATATTGAATTTCAAATTCAAGTACATCTGGGTGCGGTTTCACAAGTTCACCCCCTTAACGGGAATTTGGTCTCCGAAATTCACAAATGCTTATTCAAATAGAAATGCACATTGTCCGTTGCCTGCCATTCGCTTGGGGAATGGCTCGGAAAGCGTTTCAGAGAAGGGTTTTATTTGCGTGGTAGACGCAAGTGTCCGGAGGCACTTGGTGCCCGCCGGAACCGATAGGTGGCGCCTTTGGTGTAGGGGCGTTCTCAAGGGGAACGTCTTTGTTCTTAGCATAATGCTGGGGAGGTCGAGAGGTCGTTCGTCGTAAAGGCGACGGTCCCCATCCTGGAAGGGATGGAGAGCCCTATCGCTAGCTCAAGACGTCCGGCGATGAGGAAGCCGATCTTGAGATACAAGATCACGACGAGGCTGATGAGCCGTTCGTGATCTGAGGACGATGGCGCTGAGAGGCCGTTCGTCATAAAGGCGACGATCCCCATCTTGGAAGGGATGGAGAGCCCTATGGCTAGCTCAAGACGTCCGGCACTGAGGAAGCCGATCTTGAGATACAGGATTACGCCGAGGCTGAGGAGCCGTTCGTGATCTGAGGACGATGGCGCTGAGAGGCCGTTCATCCTAAAGGCCACGGTCACCATCCTGGAAGGGATGGAGAGCCCTATTTCTAGATCAAGACGTTCAGCGCTGAGGAAGCCGGTCTTGAGATGTAAGATCTTGATGAGGCTGAGGAGCCGATCGTGATTTGAGGAAGATGGCGTTGAGAGGCCGTTCATCGTAAAGGCACCTGTCCTTTGAGGATGACGGCGTTGATGAAGCCGGTCCTTTGATGAAGGACAAAGGCATTTGGACGCTCATCTGAAGATGAGGGATGGCGGAGCACTGAGGGACTTGGTCCCTTTGGAGGCAATGGTGCAATCCGTTGGTTCCTCCCTCGGATTTAGCCATCCACATTCCAATGGGTTTGAGATTCGTTTCCTCGGCCTGGGAACAAAACCGGGGCCTGCCTCTCCTTGGGGGATGGCACGGAAAGGGTCGTCGGGGATGGGTTTGTTCGTGTACTTGGCACAAAATGGCTGGGGGTACTTGGTGCCCCTCGGTGTGATACTTAGTATCGTCTTGAATTAGAGCGCCCTCAAGGAGGACGGTTTGAATGAAAACTATGAGTCCTCATGGATTGAACACTTGGTGCTATGACGTAGTCGATGGTGGGCTTGACCGTCGGCCTAACACTTGGTGCCGTCAGTTGGCCGAGTGCAAACCTCAGCTGATAAATTGCGTCATCGGGGCGACGGCTTCTTGGAGGCGCTCTTGTGTCCAAATAAAGATCACGAGAGGCTAGGTCGAGGGACCCAAAGCAAGCTCGGATCATTCAAATAAAAATGTCCGGAATCGGCCATGAGGCCAAGAGCTTGGCTCACACCACATCGGGGGACTTTGTCCCCCTGGTGACGGTGGCGATAATATAATATAATAATAATAGTAACCCTTTGGGTAAATGGCCCACATAGGGACGACCATTAACCCCTGAGGCTTACCAGACAGGCATCCCCAAAGCCCAACGACATGGGGACAAATACTCTCAGTGGTAGTGACGACGTTCGGCTCGTCAGGAGACACAGAGTGGCCGAGCAACTTGGAAGGCACCACGGGACACCGGGCAGCCAATGCCTGGGGATGATCGTCGCCACCCATTGGCGAGAAACATGGCCAAGGAAGCCACCGTCATGTCAGGAGTGTCGGCTAAGGGCAATACGAAAATCTCCAAGGACTTGGGGGCAACCGAAGATGCTTTTCCCCTACTTCAGGGGACGTACGTCCCCAACAGGGCGGAAAGGCCCAATTGCAAGACGTACACACAGAACCTTGGCCTTGGGAGCAGGCAGGACACATGAGGTAAGATCATGGGGACGAACGTCGCCACCCCTCGACAAGAAGCCAAGATCTTGGCGGGAAGCAGGAGACAAGCTCATGGGGACGAATGTAGGAAGCCATGAGTGTTTTGTTTTTTCAGAGGGGAGGGGTTCTTACTTGATTGTTCGATCTCTCAACGAGAGCACCAAATGACGGATAGTACATCCGGGGGATACCGCTGGGGGTAGCTAGAGAGATGTCAGAACTAGTAAGAGAGAGAGTGAGTATTTATTAAATGAAGTTGTTATATCGTTACAATGAGAATTGGCTGCTATTTATAGCAGCCATAAATGATTGATGCAATTATTGTGGGTACACATGTCAAGCAATCAACGGTGGAGGGGCGACTCAGCCAGGGTGGCGCCGACACAGCATGTGGCACCGCATTCAATGTGGTGGTTGGAGTTGACACCGCATTTAATGCGGTGATTCAGAGCATGTGGAGAGGAGATCCTATCAAGGAGAGTTCCCTTAGCTACAAGCACTCGGTGGCTGCATGTGTCGAAGGCTATGTATGAGCCGAAGGCTGCCTGTGCCGAAGGCCGTACGTACCCAAGGGCCATTTGGGCCTTGGTAACGTGCTGGGGACGTACGTAGCTGGATACCGTCGTGTGCTAAAAGCTGTACGTAGCTGGATACCGCCATGTGCTAAGGGCCGTACATAGCTGGATACCGCCATGTGCTAAGGGCCGTACGTAGCTGGATACCGCCATGTGCTAGAGGCCGTACGTAGCTGGATATCGTCATGTGCTAGAGGCCGTGCGTAGCTGGACACCGCCAAGTGCTAAAGACCGTAAGTAGCTGGATACCGCCATGTGCTAAAGGCCGTACGTATCATGGGGCACTTCATGTGTCGAAGGACGTACGTACCCGGGTGGTCGTCATGTGCTGAAAGACATATGTCCCCAGTGATGTTTCTAGACCAGGTGCAACTATTTCAGGACGTACGTCCCCAGTGATGTTTCTGGACTAGGTGCAACTGTTTCTGGACGTACGTCCCCAGTGATATTTGTGGACGTACGTACCTTGTTGTAGTATGGGCTATCCGGAGTCATGTTTGCTGTGTTTGGGCATGTTGAGCCTGTTGGACCTGATTGTAGTAATGGAGGTATGTGGGTGGGGGGTTCTTGGGCCATATACTTCATCAACAGGTTACTAGCAGGTTGTTTGAACTCATATGACTCTTTGTTAAAGTAAGGGTATGATTTTGACACTTTTTTAGTAGATAACCTTATGTGATGGTTTCGATATAGTATATGCCCTTATTTGACCCTTTTTCTAAAGTAAATATATTTTTTGACACTTGTTTTAGTAGATAACCTTATGTGATGGTTTCGGTATAGTACATGCTCTTATTTGATCCTGCTTCCTTCTAAATTAGGAAAGTTTGGCCTACTGGGTTGAGTTTGGTTACGTTTATGGGCTGCCCTTTACAATTTATTTCAGCCCATCCAAGATATATACCTTGATTTAGACCTGACTCCGGTTTCCGGTTCAACCAGAACCAAAACTTGAACCGGCGATTTTCGAACCGGAACCGGAACCGGCGTAGCTTACGGTTCAGAATAGAAGGTTCTAGATAGCGGTTCGGTTCTTCGAATTTTGGGGAACCGGATGTTCCAGTTCGAAACCGCTTTTTTAAAAGTTTTAAATAAAAATAAAATAAAAATTAAACAAACAAATAATAATAATGATAATAACAATACTAATATCAATATGTAGTAGTAGTAGACTGTAGTGATAGTTGCTTTACTTAAAATGAAAATAATACTCTGTAAATAATAATTTTTAGGTATAACCTTTTACACACTACTAGTTATAAAACCTCTTTTATTACAAATTATAGTAATAAGTATACAAAATTTACTAGTTACTAAAGTATTTTAATTATTGACTTGTATATTTGTATACCCTAATTTTAGTTGTTGACTATCTAATTATTGCACTTCATCATAACAATTGTAACTATTAATTATACTAACAATTTTTGGAAATTATTTTATTTGAATAATCTTATTACATCATACTTACTACTCCCTCCGTCCCTAAATAAAAGCATCTGTTTCCTTTTCGGGCCATCCTTAAATAAAAGTTCCCTTTCCTTTTTTGGCAAACAAAACAGTGCAAAACAGTGCAAAAAGTGTCAAACAATGTCCAAACAGTGCCAAACAGTACCAACCAAACCCACTTTCTTAAAATGTGTGGAAAATGAATGGATACTTTTATATAGAGACGGAGGGAGTATATTTTAAGGAATAACAAAACTCTTAAATATAAAGAATAAAAATGCAATATTATTATATCTTTAATATTTTAATTAAATACATATAAATACTCTCAATGAATAAAAATAAAAACATAAAAATAAAAACAAAAACCGGAGAACCAGACCGGAACCGGAATCGTCAGTTCGAAACCGGACTAGAACCACTATTATGCGGTTCCGGTTCCGGTTTCATAGTTTTCGGAACCGCGAACCGGCGATTTGATTCCGGTTCCGGTTCGGTTTCATAACTTTCATTGGTTAAGCGTCAATCGTAAAAAATGAGAACAGACGCACGGTGATGGAAGACTACAAAAATGTTATGAAATTGAAGGAAATAAGTAGAAGATCAGGGAGAGAAAATATAGTATGAAGACTTATGTTATTGAGAGTATTAGAGAGTGTGATAATAGTGTAATCAAAGTGTGTTAATTACAATGGAGAAGACTCCTATTTATAGGAGAAAAGCTAAGCTTATTAGGATTATAGGATAATTGTGAACAACACAATTATCATCTAGAATCATAATTATGATTTCCTAATTATTTATTTCAGGAATAGTTGGAAGATGACTTAATTCAATATATTTCAACACTCCCCCTTGAATGGTCATCTTCTAATTATTCTGGGGTATTAGTATCATAGTATATAATATACTGTCTTGTTAAAACCCTTTGTCAGGAAAAACCCAGTGGGATAAAAACCTGACGAAGGGAAAAAGAGTGCAGTGCATTATATTAATCCTCCTCAATTTAACATATATCTCGAAGACGACACATTCCAATTTTGTGGACTAGTTCTTCAAATTTCTTCGGTGCCAATGACTTTGTGAATAAATCAGCAGGGTTGTCGTAGGACTTGATTTGTTTGACATCAACTGTTCCTTCTTTCTCAAGATCATGTGTGGAGAAAAGTTTTGGTGCTATATGCTTTGTTCTATCCCCTTTGATGTAACCTCCTTTGATCTGAGCTATACATGCTGTGTTATCTTCATAAATCACAGTAGGATTACAAGTAAAAGATTTTATACCGCATTCATTTTGTATGTGCTGGATCATTGATCTCAACCAGACACATTCTCGACCTGCTTCATAAAGAGAAATTAATTCTGCATGATTTGATGATGTGGCAGTTAATGTTTGCTTCATCGATCTCCATGAGATAGCGGTATCACCATAGGTGAATACATATCCTGTTTGTGATTTTGCCTTTTGTGGATCAAACAAGTATCCTGCATCGGCATAGCCAATTAAAGTGGTATTTGCACCATTCTTGAAATACAATCCAAGATCGATTGTACCATTGAGATAGCGGAATATATGTTTGACGCCATTCCAATGTCTTCTTGTCGGAGAAGAACTGTACCTGGCTAATAAATTTACAGAAAAAGCAATATCTGGTCGTGTATTATTGGCCAAATACATTAACGCTCCAATAGCACTCAAATATGGTATTTCGGGACCAATGATTTCTTCATCATCTTCACAAGGCCGAAAAGGATCATCATGCACATTGAGAGATCGAACCACCATCGGGGAATTGAGTGGGTGAGCTTTTTCCATGTAAAACCGCTTCAAAAGTTTCTCGGTATAATTTGATTGGTGGATAAAAATACCATTTCTCAAATGTTCAATTTGAATGCCGAGACAAAATTTTGTTCTCCCAAGGTCTTTCATTTCAAATTCTTTCATGAGATATTTAGCAGTATTTTCAATTTCATTGGGAGTTCCGATTATATTCAAATCATCAACATATACTGCAATTATGGCGAATCCTGATTCAGATCGTTGAATGAAAACACATGGACTAATAGGATCATTTTTGTATCCTTCTTTAATCAAATATTCACTTAGACGGTTATACCACATGCGTCCAGATTGTTTTAATCCATATAATGACTTTTGCAATTTTATGGAAAATAAATCTCGAGATTTCGAGCTATAAGCATCAGGTATTTTAAAGCCTCCAGGAATTCTCATATATATGTCTGTATCGAGTGAACCATATAAATATGTGGTCACTACATCCATTAGCCGCATTTGCAGCCTTTCAAAAACAGACATGCCAATTAAAAATAGTAAAGTAGTAGCATCAACTACTGGAGAATACGTCTCATCATAATCGATTCCTGGCATTTGAGAAAAACCTTGGGCAACAAGTCGGGCTTTATATCTAACGATTTCATTCTTCTCATTGCGTTTACGCACAAACACCCATTTAAAACCTACAGGTTTTACGCCTTTTGGCGTGTGGACAATTGGTCAAAAAACATTACGCTTTTCTAGCGATTTTAGTTCTTCCTAAATCGCTTCATTCCATTTTGGCCAATCGTTTCTACGACGACATTCGTCAATAGATTTAGGCTCATTGTCATCGTGTTCATTCATTATATCTGTGGCGATGGCATATGAAAATATATCGTTAACATCAATATCTTTTCTATTCCATTGCATTCCATTAGAAACGTAATTGATTGAAATTTCAAAATTATCAACGTTTCTATCTTTATCTGGAATATTTACCTCTTCAAAGGTGATTGGATCCTCTTTTGAGGTATCCTTATTATTGATGTTATCTTCAATGCCGATATTATCATAATGTTCATTTTCTTCTTGAGAAGGTTGAACTTCTTTGGCATCACAAACTACATCTTGTTTTTTAAATTTTCTTGGTTTCAAATCTCTTAAACCAAGTGGTCACCACGTTTTTTACGTATCATAGATTCATTAGCAAGAGTTCTTTCGCTAATCTCCGCAGGAATTTCTATTCGAGAAGGAGTATTCATAGCTGGAATATGTGACTTTGTCACTTTCTTGGAGTCTGTGAAAGCATCAGGCAATTGGTTTGCAACACTTTGTAAATGAATGATCTTTTGAATTTCTTGTTCACAAGCATTTGTGCGAGAATCAAGAAAAGATAAATCTGTTGCATTCCAAGTAATATCTTTCGAATGTGGGTCCATTTCTTTATTATCTCCCCCTAAGGCTGGGAATACTGTTTCATCAAAATGACAGTCATCGAATCGTGCGGTGAATAAGTCACCAGTCATAGGTTCTAGATAATTAATAATTGAGGGAGATTTAAAACCAACATAAATTCCCAGCCTTCTTTGAGGACCCATTTTAGTACGATAAGGTGGAGCAATTGGTACATACACAGAACAACCAAATATTTTTATGTGTGATATATTTGGTTCTTTACCAGATATTAATTGCAATGGGGAAAATTTATGATATGCAGTTGGCCTGAGCCGAATTAAATTTGCAGCATGCATTATAGCATATCCCCATGCAGATGATGGTAATCTGGATTTCATCAATAATGGTCTAGCAATTAATTGTAATCGCTTAATTAAGGATTCAGCAAGACCATTTTGTGTATGCACATGTGGAACTGAATGTTCCACATCAATCCCAATTGACATGCAATAGTCATTAAAAGATTGGGATGTAAATTCCCCTGCATTATCAAGTCGGATTTTCTTTATTGAAAAATCCGGATATTGTGATCTCAAACGAATAATTTGAGCAAGGAGATTTGCAAATGCAAAATTTCTAGTCGATAAAAGACTGACGTGTGACCAACGTGTTGATGCATCAATGAGCACCATAAAGTATCGAAAGGGTCCACACGGAGGGGCAATTGGCCCACAAATATCTCCTTGAATTCTTTCTAAAAATGCAGGAGATTCAACTCCAATTTTGTATAAAGATGGCCTGATAATTAATTTGCCAAGAGAACAGACTGTGCATGAGAAATCACTTGATTGTGGAATTTTGACATTATTTAATGAATGTCTAAGTGAATTTTGAATAATTTTGTGCATCATAGTGCTACCTGGATGACCTAAACGGTCATGCCACAAGATAAAGGAACTGTGGTCATTAATTTTAGATACCACATTTATCTCAATTGGACTGATATATGTATAATATAGTCCGGAGGAATATGCTGGCATTTTTTCTGAAATGTATTTATTGCCAGATCTATTTGTCGTTAGACATAAATATTCCTTTTGATTTTCAGACATGGTTTCAATGTGAAAACCATTTAGACGCATATCTTTGAAACTCAAAAGATTTCTCCGTGATTTACTGGAGTATAAAGCGTCTTTAATTATTAATTTTGTCGCTTTTGGGAGAATTACACAGGCTATTCCAGAACCTTCAATGAGTTTAGCAACACCTGAGATTGTATTGACATTAGCATCAACTAATGTCATATGAGAAAAATAATCTCTCTGTCTCAAAATGGTGTGCGTTGTGGCACTGTCTATTAAACATTGTTCAAAGCCATTTGGAGAAATTTCAGTTAACTCCATATCTTTAAAAAGATAAAAATGAACAAATATTAGTTCAATATTGGAATATAAACAAGAATTTATTCATTAAAATGTACATAACTCTTACAATCGAAACAAGCACACCAAATAAAAATTACAATACAACAAACTTTTATTGTAGAATATATTACATAACAGAATAATTTCATTTTTATTATTATTATTTTTCACCCATGATGATGTCAGTGTTCATCTCATTATTATCCATATAGAAATCAGACATATTAAATGTGGGCATTGGTGGAACGTTTTCGTTGACGTAATTAGTTTACACATTCTTTCCTTTTAGAGATGATTTATATAAGTCAACCAAATATGTAGGTGTGCGACACTTATTTGCCCAATGTCCCGACGTGCTACTACTCTGTTTGTTTCCCCGGCTAGGTCCATTATAACGACCAATACCACGACCACGTTTGAAATGTCCACGAGCACCACTATGAATTGCATTTGATTCATGTTTTGAACCATGATTTTGTGGACCAAAACTAAAAGGGCTACAACCCGTGGGTCTCATCAAAATGTCATTATTCGTCTCAGCAAGTAGTAATACTGATATTAAATCAGAATACTTTTGAAAGTGCTTTTGTCTATATTGCTCTTGTAAAAGTGTTGGGAATATTTTATGGTGTTCAATCTAGTTAGTTATCTTTGTATTCGTGTAGTTATTAATTAAACGTGTAATACGGGCCACAAATGTGTATCAGCCCGTGGGCTTCCTTGTAACCCGTAAGTTAGCCAACTTCTCCTATAAAAGGAGGCTAACTTACGGGAACCCTAACTAATAGAAAGAGGCTTAGAGACGCAGAGGCGTAAAGATAGAGAGAGTAGGGTTGCCGCTGCTCTCCTTCTCCAGGGAGAGCAGCGGCCGGTTTTCATACGGTATACCAGATTCGGTTCTTATCTTATCGATATCTTTCTTTCTGCTTCTTTATCACTGCTATGGTTGTATGATTGTTAGTATTATAGGATTAACATTTGGTATCAGAGCCGAGGCGTGAAACAGGTTGGATCTGTCTGCGATTTTTTTTGATCTAACGAAGAACTGCTCTGTTTTTCTTCTGTTTTTCTATATGTAGAGATTTGCTCCTGTAATCTCGTTTGTGAACGAAATTTTGTAAAAATCATACAGTTGGACTCGCCTTTCAAAACCGATCCAGCAGCATACCTCTTTTTCGTTTTCTGCAATTTTTATATTTCGAAGATCTCTACATTGAGATCTCGAAATCCTTATTTTTCACTGCTGCAGAAACGATTTTGGCTTGAAACTGATACGGGAGAATCTTGACTTTCAGGGCTATTCAGAACAGGTTTCAGATTTTCAAAAATCAATGTTTTCGTTTTGCAGGATCTCGACATTTAGGGACTCGATTTCCTCTTCTCGACTTTTGAGATCTCGAGATTTGCATCTCGACATCTTGATCTCGAGATTTGCATCTCGACATCTTGATCTCGAGATTTGCATCTCGACATCTTGATCTCGAGATTGGCATCTCGACATCTTGATCTCGAGATTTGCATCTCGAAATCAAGATCTCGAGATTTGAATCTCGACATCATGATCTCGAGATTTGAATCTCGACATCATGATCTCGAGAGTTGAATCTCGAAATCATGATCTCGAGATTTGAATCTCGACATCAAGATCTCGAGATTTGAATCTCGAAATCAAGATCTCGAGATTATAATCTCGAAATCAAGATCTCGAGATTTGTAATCTCGAGTTTTGGAATTTCGAGTTTAGGAATTTCGAGTTTTAGGATTTCGACATTTGGGATCTCGATGTTTTGGATCTCGACATTCTGAAGATTTCGAGATTTTCAAAATTTCTCGATGTTTTGAATCTTTCAAAGTTTGCAGTTTCTTGGAACTCATAATTCGAATCTTGACATCCTTTGCAGTTCATCGAAGCTTTACATTATAAGGATCTGTGAATGATTCCCTGCTTATATAAATGTTTTAGGAGTTTTCGATGTTTTGATGTTTTTCAAACAGCAAGTTTTCGAGATTATGAGGTTTTCGAAACTCCAAAGTTTTCGATGTTCAAACATTTTGAAATTCTGCAGATTTCGATATTCTGAGGTTTGTTTTGCAGGTGGATTTCGCCATTATTCTTCGAGGCAACCTCGAGATTGTAATCTCGAGATTTAAACCTCGAGATTAGGATTTCGAAGTATTGCCTTAGAATTTTGTTTAAAATCCGCTTGCTCTCGACATTCATCATCGAGAACCTCAACTTCGAAGAAATTCCTCAAAAACTCAAAATTAGAGATTTTCTGCGACACCGCACTGTTTTGGCCATAACTTTTGACTCGGTGATCCGATTTGAGCAAACTTTTTTTTGTTGGAAAGCTAACGAAATGATCTACATTAATTCTCGGGCTATGCTCCAGAACCCATTCTCACGCGCCCTCACTCGCAGTCCTTGAGGGTCAAAACGTTAGTTTTCCGACAAACATTGTAAATCACCGATGTCCAGGTCAAAACTTAGGCAAATCTGTTCAAATTCTTTCATTGTCAACCCTGAGGTCAAAGCTCTTCTAAACTTCAATGTAAAGGTCTGAAAATCGTAGATAATTCAATCAACCTCGCGTCAACGGTCATCTTACAACAATCAACAATCAACTGCTGAAGCCTCCCCTGATTCGTCAACATTATGTGATCATCAATATGCTGAAATTCTACATGGTGAGCTCAGGGAAACCGTCATGTGTGGTACATGTTCAGATTGCTCCACACACATGGCGGGTATGACAAGCTGTGAGAAATCAAACCTTGCACATTCTAAGGGGGAGTTTCAGTTTTCTCCTCCTGGCGCCTTACACCGACAAAGCAAGGAATCTCTCAAAGGATGCAACATTTTAGGGGGAGTGTTCAATGTTATCCTCCCCGGTGCCTAACAATGACAAAGCATACCGAGTGCTCCAGTTGAGGGGGAGTACAGAGAGAAAATGAGAAAGTAATGAGAGAACATGTCCCTATGGCTTAGTAAACCAACTAAGCCTACCCAAGGGACAAAGCCGAGCGTAAGTGCGTAAGTGAGTGAGTGAGTGAGTGAACATTATGAGCATTAGGAAGCAGAAGGCTCAAGTGAGAAGAAAAACAATTATCAATGATGAGTCTGCTACCTCAATTGCCTGCTATGAATTGAACATTTGCTCCTAGCCACTAAAATACTCTGGACTATCCCCATAGGTTCAGGACTGAATTTATTCAGATCCCGGGTAGAAGTCGCTGCATTTTGTCCAAACGGTGCATGCACAACCCTACCCTAGACCACTCACCTGTCTCCCAACAGACAGGTGTTTAATCATAGTTCACGAGGAACCGCATCTCTCATTACTGTCTCCTTGTGAGGCAAGTAATACCGACTACAGTGGCCTCAGCCCCATGCCACTGAACTTTCATTGATCATGTCGTGTCTAGTTACTCACTCCCAAATGTTTTGAAATTTTCTAGGACACAGACGCACTTTTAGAGTCAGTTGCAGGTCTACATGACCCGCGAGAACTTCCATAGGGCTCATCTATTACAGATGTAGACCAATAATTGGAAGGAAGTCCTGTTGTTGCAACATAAGAATCACCAACATTTTCAGGCCATTGCTAAAGAGTTTATCTCTATAGTGATGATAACGGGCGTCTTCACGACCCCGGGGGGCTACATTATCTTCTTTACATTCTGCTTGTTTTTCCTGTTTTATTTCCGCAGAATAAAAGAATAAAGGCATGACGCCCCGAGTCATCGGATCGTCATGAGGGGGAGAGTGGTCCACATGCTGTTAACTGTCGAAATCATTCTGGGACACTTCTCTCATCCAACACTCTCTCTACTATCTCTGCAACTCAAATGGTCAGCTACACTCACAAATCAACCATCATTATGTTCCGCTGTGCCACCGACAAGTTCTCCTCAAATGCATTCATTCCAAATAGTCAAAAAGACTACATTGTGGAGGAGACAGAGGTCAAATACTCGTGTCCTAAAGATGAATTCCATGGGCGTCTCCTATTCTCTAAAGAATATTCATTCTAGAGGCGTCACCGGACCTCATCCAAGCTGATCAAGAGCAACTTCTGGAAGGCAAGGACTACATGCAAGATACTGAAGGTCCCTCAACTCCCAGCATCAAAGATCAAATTGTCAAGAAGACATCAAAGGGGAGTTTGCAAGGATTTCTTCAGATAGCCTTCCTCAGAAGTCAAGTTCAAAGACAAAGGAAGCTCAACAACAACAAAGACAAAGATATCTGCGCTGCAATGCTGATTACACACGATTGATCACCAAGAGGGAGATTGTTGGGAATATTTTATGGTGTTCAATCTAGTTAGTTATCTTTGTATTTGTGTAGTTATTAATTAAACGTGTAATACGGGCCACAAATGTGTATCAGCCCGTGGGCTTCCTTGTAACCCGTAAGTTAGCCAACTTCTCCTATAAAAGGAGGCTAACTTACGGGAACCCTAACTAATAGAAAGAGGCTTAGAGACGCAGAGGCGTAAAGATAGAGAGAGTAGGGTTGCCGCTGCTCTCCTTCTCCAGGGAGAGCAGCGGCCGGTTTTCATACGGTATACCAGATTCGGTTCTTATCTTGTCGATATCTTTCTTTCTGCTTCTTTATCACTGCTATGGTTGTATGATTGTTAGTATTATAGGATTAACAAAAAGCATATTTGAAAGATGCATAGTGGATAGAGTTTTTTCCAACATTTCGGCATCGGTGACTTTTTGTCCGCATAACTTCAGTTTTGATGTTATTTGGAAGAAGGCAGAATTGTAGTCACTTATAGATTTGTAATCCTGGAATCGTAAATTGATCCAGTCATATTGAGCTTTTGGTAAAAGGACTTTTGTTGATGGTCATACCTTTCTTGGAGATTATCCCATAATTCTTTAGGGTCATCTACCAATAAATACTCAGACTTCAAACTTTCGTGAAGATGGTGACGAAGAAAAATAATGGCTTTTGCCTTATTTTGGGGAGTAGCTGAATTATTTTCAGCAATTGTGTTTTCGAGGGCATTTGCTTTTAAATGTGCCAAAGCGTCAACTTTCCATTCCAAGTACTTTTGACCAGATAAATCAAGGACGTCGAACTCTCTTTTGCTAATATTAGCCATGGATGAACTACACCATAATTAAATCAAAATTAATTAGTTAATGGTTTGTATAGATCATACGATTAGATATACATAATGTTTATGTAATAAATACTATATTAATAACTACTACGTACGATAACAATAATTATATACATCACTTTTATTACGTAGTTCGTATGAGTAGATGTAGTAATCTATACTCAGTATTAAATCTCTTTCATTAATAACTACTAATATAGGTATGTACGTATATTAGTATATATGTGTACTGAAGTAGTGAAAAATGTCACATGTATTTCTTATTATAATGATCCAGCACATATTCATTACTTTGTAAAATTCCTGGGCAGTTAAACAAAAAAAAATTTAATTGCTGCTAATGATTTAGTGATAATATTTACTCCGTATGAAATACTACCGATTTAGTTATAAATAGTACCAAATACTACGTATTAGATAATGTTTACAAACATTATTGTTTATCAAATGTTTGCTTAAGAGCCTCACGGAAATTAAACATTATTCTCTTTTAATTAATATTTAATATTATAATAATAATAAAATAAACTCACTAACTAAGTACGTAGTGGCATGAGTGAGGTATGTATGGTTTTTTTATGTATGGACATATACACCGTATGTAGTAAATTTATATTATTATTGATTTGAATTGATGTGTCAGAATTATCTTGATAGTATTATTGAAGATAAAAAAATGCATTGTCAAAAACAAAATATGACCACTGCACAATAAGGCATGCATTAAGACAAAAAAAACAAGTGATAATATCTAGGAGATATCATTGATCTACCCGTGAGTGTGACCTGTCTTTACTTCATACATCAATTATATATGAAGTAGCTAGTATGCAGTTTAAATATATGTCCTTTCTCTTCTTCTATGTTACTATAGTTCTTTAGTTTATTGATAGAGATAATATCCGCATGAAGATAACTATGTTCGGTCTCCAATTCACTTTATTTGGAAGAAAAACAAGAACGAGTGAGATATATTGTCTACAATATGGAGTAGTTCATTTCAAGAGCAGATCCGGTTCCTATAAAGGTTTGTTTTTCTTCTTTGATTTTGTTTACTTAAAATATAGCTATAATTTTCTGATATGGAGGATCCCAATGGTTGGGCAACCATAGAACATACTTCTTATAGTTTTGAATATATCTATACATGTTTATACTTCTCAACCTCTGATTTTTTTTTTCCAGATGAATTGATAAATTCGTGGAAATATATACCTGTTGGGAAGATGATGATTTCAGGGATTTGGAGCAAATTCATGCTGATAACGTCTTATGAAATGGAAGGAAATAAGTAGAAGATCATGTAGAGAAAATATAGTATGAAGACTTATGTTATTGAGAGTATTAGAGAATGTGATAATAGTGTAATCAAAGTGTGTTAATTACAATGGAGAAGACTTCTATTTATAGGAGAAAAGCTAAGCTTATTAGGATTATAGGATAATTGTGAACCACACAATTATCATCTAGAATCATAATTATGATTTCCTAATTATTTATACAATGGTGATAATAATTCCTAATCAGGAATAGTTGGAAGATGACTTAATTCAATATATTTCAACAATGGTGATAATAATTCCTAATCAAAGTTTTAATACGAGTACATAGCTATGAAAAAAGAGAAAGAGGATATAATAGATATGTTATTTATATTTAATTAATTAATTTTAATTGAGGGCTGTGATAGTAAAGTGTCAATTTAAGTAAAAAAAGGCCCAGTCCCAAACGGATTTATCAGAACAGCACTAGCTCGACTCTCACACCTTCACGTCCGCAGTCGTTCTCTAATCCCGATTTATCATCGATGGCCACAATCAGTTTCTCATCCCCGGCGACGGTGAACCCCCGATCTTCTACTCCTTCATTATCCATCGGAAATTCACACAATTCACTCTCATTCCATTCTCTCCGGAAATCTTCTCTCATCTTCCCTTCGATAACCCTTCGGCCAACAAACGAGACAAAACCTCGGGGCCTTAAAGTCGTCGTTGCCGTTGCAAATAAGCTCGCAGAGACAGACTCGGTGGCTGTTCCATCGGAACACGGCGCAATCGATAGCGTGTTCCCGAAAGCTTCCGGTGTATATGCCGTCTACGACAGTAACGGTGACCTTCAATTTGTCGGCATATCGCGAAACTTGGCCGCCAGTGTACACTCCCATAAGAAATCTCTCCCTGAGCTCTGTTCCTCTGTCAAGGTTGAAATTCAAAATCTCATAAATTATGGCTGTAATTCTTTGTTGTTTCTGAAAATTGATGATTAGTTTATTTGATTAATGCTTGCAATTGAAATTAGAAAAGAACATAGATCCCGCTTGGAGAATTCCAATAAAAACTATTCCATGGAATGCTGGTTACTTTGGAAAGTATTTAGTGTTCCAACCGTTGGAAGTCAGCATAACAAAATTTGTTTACCTTCTATTACATTAGGTTCCCACGAAAGGTGGATTAAATTTAGATCCTTTTACTGGAAAAAAAAGAAGACCTTGCGTTTGATATGGCCATGGAAAATTGGAATTAAGCTCCATGGAAATTTATTTCCGTTTTTAAGCCTTTGGATAGTATAAAATTTCCATGGAATATACTCCGTAATAGATACTCCGTAATGTTTAAAATCTAAAATGTCCTCATGACATTGTTTTGATAGTTTTCAATTTTTCATTTGCTTAAGACTGCTCATAAACAAAATAAGCAAATATTTTTCAAGCCACTAAACTAAAGTTCCAATGCACTTCCATAGCAACTTCTTTCAATGTTACTCAGGAATGCACTTCCATAGCAATTTTTTTTCAATGCTACCCAGGAACCGGAGAATTTGCTATATGTGCTTAAGTAACTACTACCTCCGTCCCGTTGAAAGGTTTCCATGACAAAATGGCACGGTTATTTAGACAATACTTAAATAAGGTAGTTCGAGTATATTTTGAGAAATAATTTTAATAGGTATATAATCTAACGGGGTTAGTATTAATAACCATGTCGTTATAAATGTATTATTTTTAAGGGGAAATTTGACTTTGCACCCCACATTTTGGATGATATTGGACTTTGCACCCCATTTTAAAAAAACTTTGATTTTGCACCTCATTTCACTTCAAAATCCTTTGACTTTGCACCCCATTTCGAAATTTTCCTTCACAAATGTTATATGATAGGGTGCAAAGTCAAAGGTTTTTTAAAATAGGGTGCAAAGTCCAATATCACCCAAAAAGTGGGGTGCAAAGTCAAATTCTCCCTATTTTTAATATTTAATGATTAATTTGTCATTTAAAATTGTTAATTGTTTCCTACAATGGAAATGAGAACCTTTATATGGGATGTCCCAAAAAAAAGTGTGAACCTTTTTATGGGATGTCCAAAAAAAAGTGTGAACCTTTTTATGGGATGGAGGTAGTAATTGATATGGAATTAAACCAATCTGCTTTTGTTTTTTAATGCATAAAAATCAACCCCAGGAGCTTATTTAACTTGTCAAACAGTGGTAAAGGCACTTTTTTGAAGTGTTAAGTTGTGTACTCCAGTTATATGTGAAATTCTGCCCTCACCTGCACTTCGATAGGGTATAAAAGACAATAGCATGCACAATAGGATAGCTTACATTTTCAACAAACCTAGTAAACTAAAAGAAATTTCTAAATCATATCTCACTTGAGATCATATTGCTCAGGTAGAAACCAATTATGCATGTATCATTTAAAACCTTCATATTGCCACTGTATAATTTGATTGTTTAAACACAGATTTCCCAACAAAATGATTGCACCAATATAGGGAAAGCGAAATTAGGACACAGAAACTGATGCACCTAAGGAATATCATATTTCTTTAAAGGTGGAATTTATCAAATAAAGGAGTCGCTTATCAAATTGGTTGATTATTGATCTGGGATGGACAGATAATCAGGGTGTAATTGATTTAATGAATTGATTTGTTTTCTTTGATTTAGCAATTCCCTTACTTATGAGTTAGACTAGAGCAAGTTCTATTATTGCAGTAGGTTCATCCGGAGCTCTTGAGTAGTTTCTCAGAAGTTTTTTTCAGTAATTCATTATTCTTTTTAAATAAAGTTATCTTAGTTCCTTTCTACTATTTGCTTGATAGGAACCCGAATAGTAAAAAGAAAAACAGATGTCGATTGATAAGAGAATACTGAAACGATAAAGAAGAATAACAGTTTGAGACTCTTCGAGTGGTCTCACACTCCCAAAATCCCAGTCATTTCATTTTCATTTACCCCAGTGCCGCAAAGGCTCCCACCTACGGTGGGGTAAGGGGGGGTCAGATGTACGCAGTCTTACCCCTGTACTAAGCACAGAGAGACTGTTTCCGGATGACCCATCGTGAAAATCCCGTCCAAAATTGCATGGACTGACTGCTGCTTCATGACAAAGAAGCACAAACAGTTTAGTGAGTCATTTTGCTTTATTCCATCATAATCTCAAGCCAAAAAATAATGAATCTTTGGCTCCATTGCAAATGATGGAAAGACTCCCAAAATCCCAGTCCCGATCAAAATTCTGCCTGCCCATCTACTCACCACTCACACTTATTTATTCTATTTCTAATGGGCCAGCCCACTTCTATTAAGTTATAGGGCCTAAAACTCTATTATTGACAATATTAAAAATACTTAATAAGACTCTTATTATTGGTAGTGTACTAGTGCCCGGGTCCCTAACATCACTCCTCCCTTGAACTTCCACCTTGCTCTCAAGGTGGATGATAAGAGATCGATCCGGGCATCCGGCATTTGGTTTCAGGGGGTTTTCAGCTTCATCCAGTTCATATAGCTGATTTTCTGTTCCCTCTTTTTCTTCTGGCTCTTCCATCAAGACAAATTGATAATGTTTCATTCCACAAGCATCTTCTTTGCTCCATTTGTTTCCAAATTTGAAGCATAGGCCCTTCTTGCTCCTTTCTTCTAACTTTGCTTGTGTCATCTTTTGGTCTCCCTCCCATGTTTGGTTCAGTTTTGTTGCTTCTTTTGTTTTGATATTGGCAGAAACCTTCTCAGTGAGGCTGGTGTTAGGTCATGTCTCCACCAGTTCCCTTCTATCCACTGTTGAGGCTTGGATACAGCCTCCCCTTTTTCTTTCCCTCCTCGCTTGTCTTCCTCCTTGGAACTTCTTATCTTTAGTGCTGCATTTTTTTCTTCCAGTAAAAGTGCCCGGTCCATGAGCTCGGTCAGACTCTGAGTTGGGAATAATTTGAGTTCAGCTTTCCTTCAGGCCATTCATGTAAATACCTTTAAGCATTTCATTGTCAGTAGTTCTACACTTCTAATGGGGGCTACTACCGGTTCGAATTTGTCCCGATACTCCATAACTGACCCTGTCTGTTTCACGCTAAGCACGGGACCAAACGGGTTTTTGAACCATCTCCGGTTGGAACCTTCGAATCACTGATTCCTTAAAATTTTCCTAGGTACGAACAGTGGTATGTTCCTTCGACCACTGAAACCAGTTTAAAGCCTTGTCCTCCAGAGCTACTACCACCATTTCTATTTTTTCATTTTCCTTCACTTGATTCAACCGGAAAAACCTCTCAGCCCTAATTATCCATCCATGTGCATCCTCCCCATTAAAAACACGGAAATCAACCTTCCTGTCTGTGCGAGCATAACATCGGTCTACAGCAGTTTCCGGACTACTGGATGAAGCGTGAGAACTGTTACACTTACCTGTGGTATGCGACGAGTTCACACTGTTTCCCAGCGATGATGTTTAGACACCCGCGATCTTCCTCTTCTCCTATAGCGATCACCTTGTAACATCAGATTCTTCAGTCCGGCCACTGTCTTACGCAAGCCAAGCAGTTTGTTCATGGCAGTCTTCATTTCCGCTAAGGTGTTTTTTAGGTTTTCCACACATTGCTCCATTCTCGATCGAGTCAAGACCATGCGCAGGTATAGCTATCGTCAATTGCTTTGATACCAATGATAGGACCCGAATAGTAAAATAAAAAACAGATGTCAATCGATAAGAGAATACTGAAACAATAAAGAAGAACAGTTTGAGACTCTTCGAGTGGTCTAGCACTCCCAAATCCCAGTCCCGATCAAAATTCTGCCTGCCCATGTACTCACCACTCACCCTTATTTATTCTATTTCAAATGGGCCAACCCACTTCTATTAAGCTATAGGGCCTAAAACCCTATTATTGACAATATTAAAAATACTTAATAAGACTCTTATTATTGGTAGTGTACTAGTGCCCGGGTCCCTAACATTGCTCCCTACCAATTGGTTCGATCTGCCACTATACATGAAGAAGCGAGGGAGAAGTAGAAAATCAGTTCAATGTGTTGCAGACATTTTATCTTCTTAAAGAAGCTTCAGAAAAGCTTGAAGAGATGCTAAATAGTTCACCCGAAAGGTATGAATCTACTTGCCACTTCCCGGGAGGATCTTCACATCACCACAAAACCAATTGGACTCTAAACATCAACGATAATTACCCTATGGCGTAGATTGCAAAGGTTGATCGGCACTTTTACTTAAATGCATAAGGGAGAATCTAGATTATTGATAGCTTTTGGGCTCATGTAAGGCGTAATATTACACTTTTATAGTGGGTTAGTGGCTCAATAGTCTCCTGTTGAACAGAAACCACCCAGCTGAATACAATAATCTCATGAGACATGAGACATAAATGGAACTACCCTACAATACTACATTAATGAGCCTATCATTAACTCACCTCCCCTAGAAGACATCCAACACTTTCCTTCTAAAACAATAACCCCCATTACACAAGAACTCCAGGAAAATGTTCAATTTAACATATCCGTTGTGTTTCCGAATGACAGAGAAACACCCTTACCAGAAAACCCAAAAGAAGCATGCAGTCACTGAAAGAGAGCTTGAATTTCATTCTCGGGACTGCAAAGGAAACATGATAAAAAGGTTATGTGCAAGGATTGAGTAGATAACTACTGATTATTTATGGGACAGGAAACGACATTGAATGTTCTAGGGTGCGCCGACGTTCATGGCTTTGAGGAGGAAAGGAAAACAGAGGTTGTGGCAGGCGGCAGCACTACCGGAGTACTCAAATGCGTTTTTATCCATGGGAAAATGATGAAAAAAGAAGTAGAGAGAAAATATAGAAAGAGCTAATGGGAATGGTTTGGTAAAGAAAACCACATAAAAGAGAACTGGAGTAGCGTGAGACTTCTGATCATAGACACTGGGTCTTTTCCAATCAAAATGAAGACATCCAAAAAACTTAGAATTGAAAACGAGGCTGCGTTTTAAATTGTCAAATTGCAAAACAAAGAAAGAGACCCAGCCCACTTTATGGGCTTTGATGGGGGTAAAAGCATGCAATGTCATATTGACATCTTTGTCCGGGTGTTTAATCTCCATTCTCCGGCCTAGTGGACAAGGATGTTTTCGTGTGGGCGGCAATGATACATATATAAGGAATATAATCTAACATTAGATTTAGAATATATCAAATGAAGAATGAGCTAATCAAGTTGACTGATTATTGATTTGGGATTGACAAATAATCTGGAAGTAATTGATTTAATGGATTGATTTGTATTCCTTGATTTGCCATTCCCCTTCCTTCTAAATTAGGCTCCTCCTTAGAAGAAACTCAAGAAAGACATCAAGAATATTATCTTAGTGCACCTACTTAATGATCGGCATCTTACCGGAAGGTTCCTTTGTGCCTCTTGAAGGGTTTCCCAAAAACTCTTTTCTGTCGTAATTTCCTTGAAAAAGTTATGGTAGTGCTTTTATACTCTTCACTCCTTATTAGAAACCATAGTGAAACATGAAATCGAACAAAAGAATAAATAGAATAAGGAAAAATACTAAAGCTAACTTCCATGATAGTAAGAAATATCTCATTCTTGGACCAAATATTTTGAAGAAGTAGATGCGAATAAACCTATGTTACACAGAAATGCATGGGGAAACAATAAACATCATCTTTCAATAGAAAGAGAAAGGTTTGAAGAGTTTCTGAAAAGCTTCCTGAAACGCAAACGTACTTTTTCCCTGGAGTTTCGGTGCATCATAGGAGAAACCCTAGAGCACAACAGCTTGTTATGTTCTTGGAGTAGCAACCCAATGACACAACAGATGACGGTAATTAAAAGAAAGTTTTCTAAGGTCTATTCGTTTTATGTGCCAGTAAATTCAGTGTACAATAGAGTTTCTTTTGTTGAAAACCATACATGAGACACCAAACACAACCATACATTTAACTCCATACTTGAGACACCAATCACAACTATACATTTGATTGATTTTTCATGAAAACATTTTTATATGTGATTGATGTGGAATGACTTAACATTAGAATTAAATACTCTACTAAATGAGTTGTCATATTGTAGTTCGATGTGGTGGATGACCCTGACAGAACAGCTTTAACCCAATGTTGGAGATCCTGGATAGAAGAACATATAGAAGCGACTGGAAAGGTACCACCAGGCAATGAATCTGGAAACACAACATGGGTTCAGCAGCAGCAGCAGCAGCCCAAGAAGAAGAGTGATCTGAGGTTAACCCCAGGGCGCCATGTCCAATTGACTATTCCTCTTGAAGATCTCATTGAACGGCTTGTGAATGAGAACAAAGTAGTGGCTTTCATTAAAGGATCAAGAAACGCGCCGTCTTGTGGATTTTCCAAGAGAGTGGTGGCAATTCTCGAGAGTCAAGAGGTGGATTATGAGAGTGTTGATGTTCTTGATGGTGAGTATAACCATGGTTTAAGAGATGCACTCAAGAGATACAGTAACTGGCCTACATTTCCTCAGGTTTTTGTGAACGGGGAATTGGTTGGTGGGTGTGATATCTTAACCTCCATGTATGAGAAGGGTGAGATTGCCAGCTTACTCAAAAGTTAAAGGTGGCATCTATGTTGAGAATTTGTTGTGCCAAGTTGAATAACAATGTCATTACTATGTCATATGAAGTTCCCTGTAGTTTCTGGTGCAAGCAACAAAGCTGTTGTATCTATAGTACTTCATACATTATTAATTAATCAATGTAATTTAAATATTAAGTGGGTGATAGAATATTAGGCAGGCATAATGATTGCGTAAGAAACGAACTAAGATAGAATGCGAGTTTTGGACATTATTGGTATGTTGCTTAGAAATGAAATTGTGTTGTTTGTATTGTGGGGGAGAAAAAAAATTACTGGGACTGGGTTTGATTTGTTCTTTTACTTGGCTTAAAAAAGGTTAGAGCAAATATCTGCCGAAGCGTGGAGCTGCAACGATCGCCATCCGTTGAGTGGATGGTTGAGACCGGTCTTCATATGTGAGTAATTAGACATGATATGCTGCCACAGTCATTAAATAAAGATGATTAAGAGATAAGTCGAGCGATCGTCCATCATATGATATCCCGGTCATCAAATAAAGATGACCCGGATATGTGGTCGAGACTCGAGAGGCCTATATAAAGTTCAAGTCGTCAAATAAAAACGACCAGGAGAGACAACGGAGGGGTTGATATGATGTCATCAATTAGTTGCACCTATGCATTCAAATAAAATTGTTATAATTTCTTGAGCTTATAATTCACTATTTGTTCTATGCTCAAGTGCTCAACTCACTACTTAGGTTCATAGTTCTGTGCTCATGTGTCTATTATCATCTCCTATGTGAATCTAATGTAATTTGGTACTTTTGAAATATGGTACTTTTGAAAATAAATATTCAATAAATTTATAAAAAAATTAGAAAAATAAAAAACATTTTAAAAACTTTAAAAAATGTAAAAATAAAAAAGTGCAAGCCTTTGGTGCTGCCTCAACATCCTCTCAACACCACTAGCTCTGACCATCAGAAAAGAAAGCCAATATCTTAATGACAGTTTCTGAGAAAATTTGGGCATTTTCAAAGAGTAAAAAATGTCATCTTCATGATATTTTCAGATAAAAATGACGGTTTTTACTGTTTACATATTTTTCAGAGAAAACATAGCATTTTTTTCACCGATCAAAGGTGGCATTGTTGAGAGGTGCCGAGGCTGCCAGAAAGGCCTCCATACTTTTCTATCATTACATTTAAAATGAGCATTCAATAATTTTACAATGTGCATTGTGTTAAAATCGGTTGAACTTTATTGTTAAGAAAGATTTATTCTAAGTTATTTGTAATGACTGTTACATGCGTGAGTTATAGAAATAGAAATGATTTTATGTTATACATATATGAGCAGCACTTTTTAAAAAATGAGCATTGGTATTATGGTATACTATTATAAAATGAGTACAAAATATGAGTTTTATGTTATACCCAAATGAGTATAATATTTACACAAAATATAGATTGATATAATGTTTTAAGATAAGCGTTATTACGACAGATGCTCAATAGATTTTTGAAATAGGTGTTATAGAAATAGGTGTTTTGATACTCAATAGATTTTGAAATTTTTATGCTCAATTGCAGAGTTTCAATATGTTCAATAGAGGAAACTTGACGTTCAATGAAAATGTCTTGATGCTCAATGTAATGTCTTGATCATATATTCATATTCCAAAAGTTTAATATTAAATTAGATTCATATATTGGAATCCATAGGAGACTATTAGAGATATAATTTAAAAAACTTATATAAAAGAAAAAATAAGAAAAAGAAAGTGAGTAAGAAGTTATGAAGCAGAATTCACGATGCTCAATAATACTCAACGTAATAGATCTGATGCTCATTAAACGTTCATTAATGCTCAATGAAAATTGCATTATGTTAAACTAACAAACCTTACGATTTTCATATAATGAACATTTTGTAAGGTATACTCATTTGGTATTGATGTTATGTTCATTTTAAAATGTCATATGAATGCATATTTCAAAAGTATCATATTACATTAAATTTGCATATTGAAATTCATAGGAGTGAATTATAGATATAATTTAATAAATTTTTATAAAAGAAAAAAGAAAAAGAAAAAGAAAGTGAATTAGAAAATATGAAACAGAGATCGTGATGCTCATTGTTAGGCTCCTAATACTCAATAGAATATGTCAGATGCTCACTAAAAGTATATTAATGCTCATTTTGCGGAAATCGTGATTTTTCGCTTCAATTACAAAAATGTCACCGAAAAAATCAAGTTGTATTAGTTAATGGACTGTGTTCATTACTTGGGCTGAATGTATCTACACCAGGGGATATAGGGACTTGTATTTTGAGCTTGTTTTATTAATTATTACGGACTAATTACATATTTACATGGACTTGACTAGTATACCTTTCTTTATTTGCATTTATCCATCTACCAGCCTTGTGCATGCCCCCCTCCCCCCTGTTGCACTTCATTATGGTTTTGTTTAGAACAATCTTCAAAAGTATAGCAACCATTGCTAAAGATAGATGTTCACCGTATTTCCATAAATAAAGAAGTCCAAGTGAGGCTATTCATTAAATTGTCAAAATCCCATTTATTAACTCTTCATTTACCTAAATTAGATTGCTCTCTAAATAAGAGAGCATATATATATATATATTAGTCTTTTCACTCGTTGTGCTAGGTGCATACATTTTTATGCATTTATTATTGTACATTCTTTGACAAAAATAGAAAATATGTTTATGCGAAAACATTTCAATATCATACACAAATGATGAATTTTAGCAAATTATATATACACTGTACAAAAATGGAAATGTCAATATCTATGTGAAAATTAAGCTGCAGACTACTACCTAGTATGTATAATGTGTTAGTAGACATGAATTGCCGATGTGTTAGTATTTTTTTATTTTATATTTTCATAAACCTTTTATCCCCCTTCGCACTCTTTTCAGCTTTTAATGTCCACTGTGATTATTTATAGATGTTCAAGTATAATGATATGAGATATTGAAGATATCAATGTTAAGAAACATATTAGAAAATTGTAAGCTCAATACAATTCTCGAGTGCCATTTTCCCCTTCTCTTTTGGACTCAAAACGAGCCTTCATTAGTTAGCTTGTCATTTGAACTTTTTCAGTTCACTTGTTTTGTTCTGATTTTGTCTGGCATGTCACGTAGCCTCATTTTTTTAAGAAAAAATTGCTCTCGGTAGAACATTTTCATTGCGTTTTGACCAAAATAAGACCAGATTCGGGAATTACTTGCCTAGGACTCCAGAATTCCTATTTTAGGAAACTCAAATATGATTTGCCAAAATTACCCCCACTACTTAAATAAACTTCTACGTGATATCTGCCTTTAGTAAACAGAATTGCGTATCCAGTTGAAACCTCCACTTCCCATGAAACTAAACTACCGAACATCTCTCGCCATAACCTTCTCTACGTGATCTCTTCTTTCTCGCAATTATCTAGCAATTTGATTTCGCTTTTCTCTTCCGCAATTATCTCTTGCGATGATCTTATCTACGTAATCTGCACTTTTCTCAAGCAAGTTTTTTTGCTCTGGTTTTTTCGCGATCATGTTCTCAGGTTTGTCATCTTCCGCATAGATTTTTTTGTTTGTATTACTTTTTTGCATTCGAATGTTTGTTATGTAGCTCATGCAATTTTTCCTATCATTCGAGTGTTCCTTATCTTTTGAATTCATTGGATTTCAATGTTTGTTATCATTCCTACGTTTTTATCGTTGGATTTCATTGTAATCGTTTTTATGAATTAGTAATTCTCAGTTTCTTATATTGTTTTCAGATATATTAATATGTATGAAGATGCTGTAGTTTGCTTATTCATTGAACAAATCAATATACTTTGTATTTTAGTTTTTTTTTTTGCAATTGATTTCCAAATTTATGGATGTTTTTGCTCATTGCTATTTTCATACACTTTGCAGGATGTTGATTATGCTCAAAGTTGATGGTTGTTGGGATGATTCACATGTTTTTTCTAATAAAAGAACTTGCGGCCTAATACTTCCTGATGAGACATTATACAATGCTTTCACTGAATTGGCTTACTCATGCATTGGTGCACTTGCTTCAAAAGAGATGCTTAAGTTTACATATTTGGTTGAGTCATGCCCCCCTCCAGTTGTTGTTAATGATGATAATAGTTTGAAATTTTACCCTGCTCTTAAAAAATTGCAGCCTGATTATGCGAAGTATCCCTTATGTGTTGAGTTATGCATTGTTTCCGCTTATTATCAGTCCTACTGCTCTTCTATAACTGCTGCAATTGATTTAAATGCTTCTCCACTTGATGAACATGACCAATTACTCTTACACTCAGTTTCTTCTCCTTTGCAAGAAGACAATTCTTTTGAGTTCTATGCTACCAATGATGAGATCTCAATGGATTGTGAAGATACAACTCTTTTTCCTACACCTTCATCTTCATCTCCTGTCACTGAAGATGATGATGTTAGTCTAGAGTTTAAATTACACAATGTTTTTGATTTCCAAGATTTTGAAGTACTCTCTCGTTTTAATCCTACACATATAGCTATAGACTGTATTTACAAGGACAAAAAGGCATTGGATTTCCATTTGAAAATGTATGCTATTTCAAATCTTTTCCAATATAAGACGAGGACATCAAATACAAAAGTATTGCATATTGTTTGCTTGGATGATCATTGTATTTGGTCTGTTCGTGCAGTGAGGTTGAGTGGTTGTCAATTGTTTCAAATAAGAAGGTAATTTGATCATTTAATTCATTATCCTTTCATGAATTTGTTTTGGTATTATTATTACTATTTACTATCTATTTACTATGTTATTATTGTCTGATTCCTTTTCAGGTTTGACTCTGTTCATATCTGCTCTCTTGATTTTAGACAAGGTCCCCATCGTCAAGCGACATCTGATATAATTGCAGAATTGATAAAGAGTCAATATGCTGATGCTTCAAGAAAACCGTATGCTCCAAAAGATATCATTGTTGACATGATTCATACTTATGGTATTGCTTTGCCATACAAAAAAGCATGGAATGCAAATAGAAAAGCTCAACAAAAGTTGATGGGTTCAGATGAGGAATCATATCAGTTGTTAGCGTCCCTTGCTCATGTTTTGAAAGAGAAGCATCCCGGTTCAATGATCAACTTAGGTATTGACGCCAATGATCGTTTTGAGTCTTTTTTCATGTCATTGGATGCGTGGATTCAAGGTTGGAATCATTGTTTTCCTGTCCTTATAATTGATAGATCCTTTATGAAAGCATATTATAAAGGGACTCTACTAACTGCTTGTGCTCAAGATGCTAACAAGCAAATATTTCCTCTAGCTTTTTCCGTTTGCGACACCGAGCGAAAGAGAACATGGACTTGGTTTTTTAAGAAACTAAAGGAGTGTCTTGCATTCAAGAGTGATTTGTACATTGTTTCAGACCGTCATGAGGTTATACTTCATGCAGCAAAGACAGTGTTTCCACATGCTAAACATGGGTACTGTGCGTTCCACCTGTTTGGAAATATCTGGTCAAAGTTCAAGGGTTGTACGAAAGGTCTTTCATGGAAATTTAAGCAGGCTGCCAGAGCTGCCACTCCTGCTCAACTGGACAGTTTCTTGGCGTTATTAGATGCTGAAGATCCTCGTATCCGTGACTATTTGTATGGAATAGGTGTTGAAAAATGGGCACGTTATTACTCTACTTTCCCTCGGTACTCTATAATGACATCCAATAATGCAGAGTCACTTAATTGAGTGGACCGTGTTCCCCGTGAATACCCCATAGCAAAATTGATTGATTTTTTGCGTGAAAGGATGCAAAAGTGGTTCGTTGAATGCCGTGATGCATCAACAACCAATAAAACAATTCTTTCTGAGCACTTTGAGTCCCAACTTCGTGCTTACCATGCTGCAGCATCACTTATGATTGTAAGTGTTTTTCTTATTCCTTGTAAAATCATTTTAAAGCATTGTTTCTTCTCAGCTTGCCATATTATTTATTATACTAGTTTATTTTAATATTTTGTATCATATTCTAGGTTAAGCCAGCTACTCAGTTTGAGTTTGAGGTGGTGGACACAATTTCCAGAAGCTTTGTTGTTGATTTGAAAGCCAAGACATGCTCATGTTGTGAGTTTCAACTTGAGCAGTTCCTATGTGTTCATGGTGTCGCTGTTGTGTGTCATCGTCACGGTTTATCTTGTTATGACTATATTTCAAAGTATTACTTCACACAATCCTGGGTTGCTGCTTATAGTGGTGTGGTGCACCCTATTGGTTCTCCTGTGGATTGGGATATTCCTGCTTCTGTAAGGTCTCAAATATGCAAGCCGCCTACATGTCTCACACGCCAACCTGGTAGACCTAAGAAGAAACGTATACCTTCAACTGGATAATTTTCTTCCCGCTAACGGTGTTCACGGTGTAAAAAAGGTGGACACAATAAGAAGTCATGCAGGAATCCCGTTTCAGTCCGTAGTCTTTAGTTTCAAAATAGACTAGCATTTGTCTTCGCTTTCTCCTTTAATAATTGTTGTAAGACATTCATGTTTCAGTTTTATTGTTCTTTACTTTCATGATGCTTTGTTGTTATCAACTTGGTGTTTTTTGTTAGTCTTTTGACAATTATGTTGCTGTAATGTTTGTTCTTCTACTGAAGACCCCCTGGATAAAATGGTTTTCACAATGCTAATTATTGTCTCATTACTGGTTCGTTAATGTCTAATTACTGCCACTACTATTTGTTTATATTTACTACTACTGTCTACTCCTATTATGTTGTTATTCTTACTTGTACCTTGTGTGTGTTAGTAGTCACATTCACAAACTATTATTATGAAGTCAAATTTAATCAGTGGATTTTATTTACTTTTTTTCGAATGTTTGTTTTGAATAAAAAATTATAAAGGAATGATTTTTTAGTCTCCACCTTTAAAAACTTGTATCAAATCATACATTGGTAAAATTAATGCCATGGTTACAGTACATTGTTGTACTATTTTTTGTTCTAACTTTACATTCAGCCATTTAATGTGTGGTCGTGCCATTAAAGACTACATATTACCTACTTATTATCTATGGATTTGAAGCATACATTACAGATCATTTCAATAACAAACAAAAAGAACATGCATTTTTTTCATTCAAAAGCAAAACATTCTATATAGTGAATTTTTGAAACCATATGACAAAAACACATGTTATAATAAGTCTTACTAAACAAAGTAAGGAAATTATACATTCTTTTTGCTTCAAAACAAGTAGCTTCAACAGAAACTTTGAGAACATTACATCTTATTCGAACTACTGTCTTTGTGGTAATACTAGAAATCAGTTTGAGCTTTCAACTGTGTCATGTTGCACATACAATAGCAGCTCTGTCATCATTTTCTGTCGGTACATTTCTGTGTCTTCCTTTGAAACTTCTTCCACATCTCTATCCACCATTAGATATTCAGCAAACTTGATGACAAACATGCCACAATTACCCCTGTAGAAGCATAAAATACTCAAGCAAAAAGGTGGTTGCACACGATATTTAAACAAATGTCAAGAAACAAAATTACAGACCCACATACCCATCGTCCCGCTGTGGACATTCCCTAACCATATCAATATGAAAATTTGCTTTTTCCATTTCCACCTCGCGACGCTTGTCATAAACTCCAAATCTCTCCATCAGTTTTGGTAAGAAAGACTCCAAGCATGGTATGTATGGCCTTATGATTGACAACGAATCCCCTCTTTTCTTTAGGGAGTCATACAATCTAATGCGCTTACCGTTAATGTCTAGGACCAATAATATCCCGTGCTTTGACGTATTCAATGGCATGTATACAAAATCAGCAGATGCCCATGCCATTATATGTTACGTCAGTCATTGTTGTTTTCTAGTTTTGCACCATTTCAGCTTGCGTCTTCAGGACCCCGATAAAAAAAGGGTGTAGTGGCATATTTTTATCGGAGTTTATAATAGTTTCTTTTCACTCCCAAGTAGAAAAATGCCACCCCAATAAACTGAAACATTTAAAAAATATTTAATACAATTTATTTTCACCAACTACTATACAATGTGTAGGCTATAAGTTAGTTTTTAATAACTTACAGTATCAGACAACCACTGCGTATTTGTGAAGAGGTCATAAATCCATATTTTTGTTGTTATAACAAAATCATCCAACCTCAATCCAAATTTGCATCCCATTAGCTCATCATGCTTTTTTTTTGTATTTCTTTGAGACATTAGTGTCATGGTTCTTTACCAGCCCCTCCATGATAAACAATTTTACTTTCTCTACCTCTTCCATAGGTGGCATTTCTTTTGGATCTTCGCTGAATGGTCCTTCAATTCCATTTATTTCGAACCTCTCAATCTCATTTCTTTTCTTCATTGCCCTTTGCACTTTCCTTTTCTTCATTTCTGTTGTGGGATTATGTGTGTATCTGTTGGGGCTCTTAGCAATCCTTTTTGTCCTTCTAATATCCTTTTCCTTCCCTAGACTGTGAACACTTTCTCCATCCTGTGGTATAGCCCTTTCTTCTTCTGAATGAACACTGTCAAACTTCATTTCAATGTCTTCTTGTAATTGCATAATAAATAATACATACTTAGTCATTTATTTAATAAGATTTTTAAGAATATTGAATTACCTCTTCTTCTATTCCCTTCTTAGTGTTCTTCAAGTCCTTAATCACACTATCAATGGCATTGTCTACATGCATTTGCAACTCCTATGTGTTAATGCTTGCATGAGCTGGAGTGAGTACCACTTCTTCACTGAGTATAATGTTGTCTTTTTGAGCGCCTATAGGGTCTGCTTCATCACTTGCTACTTCATTCTCATCTTGTGAGTGCTTTAGGTGTGCATCCTCACCATATAAACCTTCCTTTTCACCATCCTCACCGTCTCCCTTTTCCACCTCACTGTCTCCCTTTTCCACCTCACTGTCTCCCTTTTCCATGATTTTTTCATCGAACTTCTGACTTAGACTGAGATGCAAGTCAAAACTAGGCATGTCGTCCACGAAAGCTTCTTCATGTACTTTCTTCTGAACTTCTTCATGTACTTTCCTCTGAAGCGTGTCATTCTTATCAATGTCCATATCTTCTTCTTTACTTGTGATTGCTTCATTTGTTGTGCTTTTTGTAAGCAATAATCTCTCCAACATCTCAGTTTGCTTCTTTTGCCCATTGAACAGCCTTTCCATTCCTTCTTCAAGCACTTTCACCCTTCTTTCAAGTTTTTGCTTTTTCTTGGATTGTAGTACAACCGCAGCCATGATATTTCGCATAACCACCCTATCCCTAATTTGGTTTCCAGCAAGCGTTCTTGTCTTCATCAAATGGTTTAATCTGTGCAGACCACTTGTTGCATGATCACCCTTCTGTTGGTTCATATTTCCAGTTTCTCTCTCATTGTGTTTACCTTGAAAATCATTTTGACTTCCATGAACTTCATCATCTTTATAAGCTGCATCAAAACACACTTTTTTGTGTGTGTTTTGGTAGTCCATGGTTCAGAGTAAGACTACTTCTTTTGACAGGTTTATTCCTCATTGACTGGTACAATGCATTGATTGTTGGAATCTTAAGCTCCTCTTCTGTCGGTTGCATTTTAATATATTCAAACTGTATTTCATAAGAAAAAACAGTCAATAAAAAGTTAATTCACACCATAATGCATAACTTTACATGACACATAAATAGACATTATAAAAATAGATTTACCTCTTCATTCAGAAATATGGCATCTGCTAGGGTCATGATATTTGTCTTCTTTGGTGTTGACCACCTCAGCAACCTTGGCAATTACTCCCTTCTATCTTCATCTAAATTACAAACATGGGATGTCCTAAGAGCTGGGAAACTTTCAAATGCCCAAATTTGCAATGCAAAAATGAAACCCGGAAAGGTGAACCTATCGCTTTTTGCTTTTTTTTTTAATGTTTTCAGTCCATTTAGGCACCTTTTCCAATAAATCTTCCCACACATCATCCCCCCATGGATATTGGTTGACCAATTCCAGGTCATTTACCATGTTGATGTATATCCCTTGCCATTTCAGTGACTTTTGATTTCCAATTATGTAATTGGAAATCAAGTCCAGTACATCTAGTTTTACCCTATCTAAGGGTTGCTTCTCCACCAATATATTTTTAAACTCCTCAAAAGCTCTACTTATGTCTGCCCTAGAAATATTATTCCTTCCATTAAAATACCTTCTCCATATGTCACCTATAGTGTCTTGAATGTTTGGTTTTTCACCTCCCATCTTAAATCCCCTTATTAATGCCAAATCCTTCTTTTTGAAATCCACCACTTTATTACCTATGTGAAAATAAATCATGTCTTTCCAGACCTTCTTGTTAAGCTTTTTAACGTGGTTTTCTGCTATTAGAACAAGAAGTTGACCATTCATCCATTCAAGATTTCCTATTTCTAACAAGCCTCCAAAACTGTTTCCTTAAATGCTTGGAGTTCCTGTTCATTTAGGAGTTTTCTTATACTTTCTATGGCAGTATGGACATTGGTATAGAAGTTCAGCCTGATACTCTTTTTGGTCACCATAACAGGGTTCATACATGATCTTACAATTCAATCACCTGGTTTATATCCAACAACAATATTATTACCTATTTATTGTCTATCACAACATAATATAACAATACAACTCTTATAATTTAATTCAAAATAGTACTGAACTCAATATATCAGCACAATCACTTGTTTTATATTCAACAACACTATTATTACCTGGTTAACCAATTTTTATGTATATACAGTCTACTATTTCACATATTACTTATTTAGTGTCTATCACAACATAATCTAACATCAGAACTCTGATCATACGTTTTTAATCACTCAACCACAAACCAATTGAATTCAAAATAGAACTGTAGTCAATATATCAGCACAATCACTTGTTTTATATTCAACAACACTATTATTACCTGGCCAGAGGGAAGAACGATTTCATTGTTATTAGGTTTCCTTGTTTCGAAATCATTGTCTCATTTCTCTTGAAGTGATTGTTGATGTCTTTCAACGTCATTTTCGTCCTCTATTTTCTCTCTCTTTGCCATTTCTTCTGCTTCACTGACTTGATTTTGTTCGCCATTATTTGCTTGGACTGGTGCGTGTTGCGTGGGAGGTTCGTCAATTGTTTTCTTTCGTCGTTTCGCCATTGGCACGAGGATTAGCACACGGGAAGGTTTGAGAGTAGTGTATTTTGCCGTTGGCATGAATTAGGGGGTCATATGGTCGAAGACCCAACTGAAAATCTACAGAAAATCTCAGAAGAATAAAAGGCTCATAGCATGACGACCAGTTCACGGTCCAGAAGAATAAAAAATGCTAACAAAACCTTACTCTTAATTAAACTTTTCCAATGAGTGTATGCTTTCACTCTCAATTTGAAATAGTCCAAACCATTGTAAGTTTAAAGTTTCTTGTACTTCTTCTAAATGAGGTATATATATATATATGCATAATTCTTGAGGAAGCGGTCCAGCCCAGTCGGTCGCCGGCTCACTCTCCCTTACGGGAGGTCTCAGGTTCGAAACTCAATGGAGTGAGCTTCAACCTAGATTATTCCAGACTCCCCCCAACCCCCTCCCCCAGACGCCCCCTGGAGTTAAAAAAAAGCATAATTCTTAAAAAGTACGTAGTATATAAATAGGAATTTATAATTCTGAAATATATAAGTTTCTCAAAGGAATATTTGAGTTTTGAATGAGCCCTTGAACAACTTTCTCAAAGATGTAATGATCATTTTTTTGCATTTCTAAACAATTAAATTAACAGTAAAAAAGAAAGAGAAAAAACATTAGAAGGAAAAATAAGTTTAAGAGTAAAGAAGGTGATAGTTAATTAGAAGGAATTTAAGTTTAAGCATAAAAAGGTGATACTTAATTAGAAGGGGAGATAAATTAAACTTAACAATATAGAAGGTGTTAGTTAAATACCAGGAAATATAATTTTAACATGACCTTATAGTTACCTTCTCCATGTATATCATGGAATTAAAGTTTGAAGACCGGTGAAGCTTTTCACCATTGTAGCCACTTTTCACTGGTTGTAATGTTGATTCATCACCTTCCCTATATGACTATACAAAAACCACACTCAGATAAGTTAGTATAATACTGAACAATTTTCTTAGTATCTAAGCATTGATAGCTTCTACTTTGAAATTAGAACACAAATAAGCTCATGCTTTTTTGAAAATAAGCACTATGAGACTATAGAAGTAAGAATGGCACATTTAGCTACTTTTGCATGATTGTATATATGTACTTAACGTCTCGTTGTCTTATTATTTTGATTTATTCATTATTCATTTATTTTGAATAATGAGCTTTAGTTTAATTTACTAATCAATTATTGAGAGAGTAGAGAAATTGTGGAAGAATCTAAGCACCTATAATCTTTACTACTTTCACATAATACTTATGTTAGAAACTATTCTGAGAATGCATAAACACTCCAATAATTAAAACTCTCCACGATTAAAACTCTACAAAAATGGATATGTAGTTTATAACTACAGCTGAAGTAACATGATAAACTTAAAATATGTTTTTTTAAAAGAATGAGATAACAGAAGTTATTTAGCCTCTAATTTTGGAACTGCCTCTGCAAAACTTTACTTTGAATCCAGCAGTTGAAAAGTAAATGAAGAATCAAAGGACATAAAACAGAAACTCGTTAGGCTAGAATTCAAGAAGAATCATAAAGAATCACAAAACATAAACTCTTTAACCATTGAAGAAATTTACTTTGGGGACTGCCTCCCTTTCTTAAGCGCACCCACAAAGTTTTAAGAATAAATAATACTCCCTCCGTCCCATTTAAACGTTCCCACACGGTTTACGACGTTTGATTGACCATAAAGTTAATTGATCCCTGTCATTAGTAGATTTTTTTTAGCAAATAAAATTTACATATTAAGAAACTACATTAAAACCGCTATAAAGCCTGATCAAGAAAATTTAAATTTAATAAAAGTTGGATATATAAAATAAAAGATTAAGAACAATGCACGTTGACCGGAGAATAGTGGACGAGAACCTTTAAATGGGACGAAGGAAGTATAAAAATACGTGCAAACTATAATTAGGATTTATTATAAATAGGTATAGACTATAGAGTAGTAAAGAAGTAAAATAAATTAAGGGACTAACTATAAGAGTGTAAAATTATAAGAGTGTAAAAGGGATCTAAGACTTAATTGAGATTATTAATTAAACCTTATTGATTGTGTATGACTGTTAAATTTAATAGAACTCAATCTGACCGGTCAAAAAGAAAGCTGCGGAAATAAAACTTGAACCTTATAAAAAGCCATTATGGTGATCTATTGATAGAGAAAATCAAGATGTCATCGCATTGTGAGAATGTATTCAATTCCATACTACTTGTGTTTAAACAATGATCTTTGAGTAAATAAACGAATTTGAGTGAAATTCATAATTATGGTGTGTGCTTTGGACAAAAAACTGTTCGCTAAAATAAAAACATTCTCCATTTACTCTAAAGATGAGGTAATAACCCGTGTCATATTATAATGAAAAAGCTTCAAATTTCTCTAACATAATGAAATCTTAAAATACTCCATATAAAGAAACAAAACATTATCCCTCTAATCTAAATTTGAACCAAGATTCAGCCCATGTGCATGTTCTTTCCTAATTGATTACAGCCCATTAATTGAGCATCAAACATACTAAAACTAATGTGTCTCTAATAAATGGAAACAAATGGCAAGACTGCAGGTTTCTATAACTTAACTTGGATTGCTATCAGCATAAACTTCAATTGATATTGAAGCATACTCATAAAATGAAAAATGAAAACCCCAATACGATAATGTCCTCGTAGGTGGTAAATCGTGCATATTTTTCCATTTCACAATTGAATAAAGGAAGTTAAATCCTCAACTATTGAATAAAGAAAGCATAATGAAAAAAATTGAAAATTCATTAGTCCTTTTGGTAATGATGGGATTCACACCAGGGGTAAAATGCACAAGTCTAATATAAATAGCCAAATGTATAAAATTTACCCTAAAAACGACTCCTAAAAAAAGAAGAGGACCAAAGAAGAAATCCCCTAAAAAAGACTCCTAGAATAAAATTTACCATATCTGATTGTTAGAGCAATTAAGTATTGACCTAATGAGTCCAAAATACTTCTGGAATGAAGTCTATCATATTCTTTATGAGGCAATCTTTACTGGAATGCATTGCCACCAATTTTATATATATTTATGGGTGGGGTTTTATTAGGCATAATCATTTGTTGGAACTTGGAAATGCCAGAAATAACTATTTGCTTACGGAGAAAAATAACACGTTGTTAGTTAAAAAAGTGACACAAGGCAATGGTAAATACATGAATGACACATGGCAATGTGACCTTCAATTGTATAATATATAGATATAGATATAGATATAGATATAGATATAGATTATTATAAAATCATTATTACTTAGATAGCTCAATAATAGGGTCATGTGTTTCATTCTTTATCAAAGTGGTTCATGTGTTTGAATTCCGTTATCACAAGAGGGTCATGCCGTTAAAAACGTTTGAAAAAGACCGTTAAAAGTAACTCCGATTTTCAAAAGTGTCCAAAAAATTAAAAGAAAAATACCGGAAGGTGCGCCTCAATTAAAATCTCGAAATCTTTCAGAATGTCGAAATCTCAAACATCGAAATCCCAAAGTTCGAAATCTCAAAATCCCAAAATGTCGAGATCCTGCAAAATTAAAATTTCGAGTTTTCAAAATCTGAAAACTGTTCTGAATAGCCCTGAAGGTCGAGATTCCTCCTGTAAAAGTTTCAAGTCGAAATCGTTTCTGCAGCAGTGTAAAATTATAATCTCGAGATCTCAATGTAGAGATCTTCGAAATTTAAAAATTGCAGAAATAAAAAACGAAGATATGCTGTAGAATCGTTTTTGAAAGGCGATTCCAACAATATAATTTTTACAGATTTTCATTCACAAACAAGATTATAAGAACAAATCTCTATATCAAAGAAAAACAGAAGAAAAGGAGAGCATTTCTTCGTTAGATTTGAAAAACGCAGATAGATTCAATCTTTTTCATGCCTCGGCTCTGATACCAATTGATAGTCCCTGTTCTTTAACAATCAAACAATCGTAGCAGATAAAGAAGAAGCAGATAGAAAGATATTGAGATGAAACCAAATCTGGTATACCGTGAACATGGCCGCTGCCCTCCCTCGAGAAGGAGAGAAGCGGCAAACCCTACTCTCTATCTCGCCTCTAACTCTCGAAGCCTTCGGAATTCTTAGGGTTTCCATAAGTTAGCTTCCTTTTATAGGAGAAGTTGACTAACTTATGGATTACAAAGAAGCTAATGGGCTGATATAAATTTGTGGCTCATATTACACGGTTAACTAATAAATACACAAATACAAAGATATTTAATTAGATTAGACACCATAAAATATTCCTAACAGCTTGACTGTACCGCCTTTTCAAGCCTCATGCCTTTAAGAACACTGGATAACTAAATTAAAGTGATTGTAAGTATATTTTTATGTTCACTACAATGAAAAGTTTGAATTTAATTATAATCTGTAAAAGTTATCACGTCACATTTTAACTATTGTCCTTATTTCGGTCATATATTAGGATTATTTGCTTTTAATAAACTACTATTCAGTTCTAGTTTTTGTGTAATTGGTAAATTTATAAACAATATTTGTTAGATTTAGGACTTGACGCATCTTGTTTTGTTAAAAATGAGAAAAGTATGAAGTTTTTGAATAACATTATTTAATATTATATTTAAATATTTAAAATAGCTCTAGGAAAAATATGATAAAGGATAAATAATTAAAACGTCTTTTCACGCTTAAGCTCGTCTAGGCTCCAAAGGCTTAAGGCTTGGCCGTCCCGCCTTGGCAAGTCTTACGCCTTTTAGAACATTGGCTACTTGAGATATATAATTTTTGAGTTAAAAATCCCCTAATACTTTTAATCCGCTAGCATAAATTTTATGTAACTCTCGTTGTTCTGTTACCTGCTTACGTCGAAGAGCTCGTTATATCTTGGGGAAAGGTTTTCGCTAGTCGAAAAAACTTTCTTGAAGACAACGTTTACACGTCTCAAGCTATATTATTTTTCGGACATTTTTTGCACGTTTATCTAGCCATAATTTCCAACAACACGCTTTTATACATGTAAAGATATCTAATATGTAATAAAATTTTCAAACTAATTAAGTATTAATGTCACCATAACATAGTAAAAGTTCAAAATAAATATATAAAACAAAGTTTTGAATTAGTTAACAAAATATGTAACCACAAATGTACTCCAAACTAAGCATATTAAATAAAGCCAAACTATGAAAGAGAAAATTATCCCTCCTATGACTAAAAGAGTATGTCTTTCCTAGTATATGACTACATGAAGATTTATTCCTAGTATATTATCCACACATGCTGATGGCCATGCACGTGTTGTGTTTTTTATTTTAATCCCAGAAATACCCTTATTTAATTTAAATAAAGAACTGTTTTTTCCTCCTAAAATCAAGGACCGGCTAAAAACATGTGTATGACTTAATCCGTAGTACTCCGTGTATGACAATTGTTTGGAGTTGTAACCGCCATCCGTATTAATGAAAATTCCTAAAAAGAAGGAATCAACAAATAAAAGGTGTATGCTTCCATTATTTTGAATCTCAAAAAATAATTACGGCAGATGATGATAAATAAGGAAAAATAGGGCAATAAAATTATGGAAATTAATTTTTCATTTACAAGGTACAAATTTGTTGATATTTATGTGTCTCGGGAATGTCAACCTATTTCATGTGTTGTTGTTTTAATATTTTACTGCCTTAAATGAAATTTGAAAATCACATCAGAATTGCAAACAAGAGCAGTAAAGGACACGGGCAAACATATGTTCAATATAATGCAATCAGATGAGGTTAATATAAGTGTACAACAATAAAAGCATATAGGCAGTAAATGTAGGAATATAATTGTGGATCGTTGCGCTTACCGCTACACTAAAAGCAATCGCTGATAGTGAAGCACGCTCCTCCCCCTTTATAGCACAAGCGAAGCGCCACGCGGTCCGATTGCACCGGCAGACTGGCTGTTGCTGGCACCGCATAGCCGCGGCCCAACAATCCCCCCCCAGCACCTGCCAGCCTACAACTGCGCAGCATGCTGTTGCCGGAGGTCGAACCCGTGACCTTGGCTCTGATACCACTTGTGGATCGTTGCGCTTACCGCTACACTAAAAGCAATCGCTGATAGTGAAGCACGCTCCTCCCCCTTTATAGCACAAGCGAAGCGCCACGCGGTCCGATTGCACCGGCAGGCTGGCTGTTGCTGGCACAGCATACCCGCGGCCCAACAATAATGAATAGACGCAATGTGAGATTGTGATTAGGATTTGTTAAATTTTATTTATGGTCGGTAATAGACGTAATGAAGAGGGCAATAGTCGAAAGCAGTAATCAAAGTTATTGCATATGTCATTAAATGTCATCATACATATTTACTGCCTTTTGTGTGTTTGTTTCTTATTCAATGTGTTAATTTATTGCCCATTTGTTACTATCCTTCAATTACTGCCTATGCTCACCGTTAGCATTTATTACTACCTCAAATATGGCTCACCGTTCACTATTGCAGCATTGCTTTAATTGTCCATGAGGGAAACGAAGCATTATTTATGGTGTATTTATTACTATTCCTAAAAATAAGGATTTAGGTCATATATGGATAAGGGCATTAGCGGTTTTTATTCTTATAAAAAACTGTCGGATGCATGTATGTCAAATTAAATTTAGTCATACGGAAGACTAAAAACATATATGGTCATATTCTTAGAAAACTCATGTGTTTTAGTAATATTGGGGTATTTTCCCCACTATGAAATGTAGAAAATTAGACATCATCATCCATAAACTAAAAAGATAGCACCTCAAAGTCATAAGAAATTAGACTAGTTATTATACATACAGAGTATATGTTTAACAATATAATTTACAGTTAATAAATCTCATAATGTAAGTAAAATTAAGATAATTAAATTAATATGTCGCACTTTGATTGAGCAAGAGTCTTTATTTAAAAATATAAAGAAAATTTGATACATTTGGAATAAAGAATTGGGAATAATAATTTAGAAACTCTTTTTAATAATTAATGGATATGAAAATTCTCAGATTTTGTTAGTATATTATACTAGATATAATAGACTTTTTTTAAAAAAAAATTAAAACGGGTTTGTCCGAGTATCCATTTTTTAAAATTCTAATACCCATACGGTTCCTACATTTTTAAGGACCCGCCCCGTCCCATCCCGCTCCATTTGAGTTTTTGAAAATTAGGACCCGACACTAATCCACCGCAACCCTGTATTACTCGGCTTGACCCGCGGTTTTTGTACCCGCTTGACCACCCCTACTCAAACCTCCCGTAAATTTGGAATTTCCCCGGCATTAGACATCATCCTAAATATTGTCCTTAAAGACGTTTTACAAAACCTTTAAGGAGTGTAAGTTTAATACTTTCTTATATGTTATCCACAATACTAATACTAATTTATAAGTAACAAATTTAATTCAAATGAATGGTATCAATTACTTTTTCCAAATATATACCGTATTTTATACTGTTAACATTTATTGTATGGACTTATGTTTAATGTTATTTATTATTATATTTTTATTTACTTAAATGTAAAAAATTAAAAATTATTTTTTATCGTATTTAATTAGATATATGATGATAAAAGTATATGCATTAGTTATTCTCATAGGTAATAGGAAATCCTAAATTAGTTCCTCATAATTCACAACCACATTGCGGCTTCTCATTTTTGGAAGGTAGTAAATAATCCTAAACCCGGCCAGTTCCCGCACTGCGACGGCCGCCTAAGAATTAAAATATCAATGACTCCACAGTCCACACTCATTCTTCCGTTCTTCACAATTTTGTAGTATTCCAAGACCTATTAGTAAAGAATAGTTACCATAGACAGCCGCCCGATCCAGTAGAGGCTTGCGCCTCATCAGTTTCCACTTTCCAATCCTCACTCATATCCTAGGCTTATACGGATAGTCTTGGCTGATATCCTAGAGCATAAAGCTTACGCCTCATCTACGATTTTTTTGGGGAATCCGAAGCTATTTTCGAGGAGAATACCCAGATTGAATATTCCAGCGGCTTATTCTATTTCCGAACTTCTGAACTTTTGATTTCTTCATTCTTCTTCAATCTTTAATTTCTTTCTTCAGTCATACACTCTCTGCCTACAGACATTTTTGCTTTCTTCATAGACACAGATTTCCATTCTTCATAGACGTACTCATTCTTCCGTTCATCTGTACCCTCCATATCGAACCTGATTTCCTTCCAACATGTGTGGGTTCCGTCTCCCTCCACAAGAATTGCTGGATGATCTTTGCACTCGTTTTGTTCTGAATGTTCCAAAAGAAGATTTGCGGTCTTTTGAGAGAATTTTGTTTCTAGTGGAGTATGCACATTGGTTTTACGAAGATAATTGCGTTGAGAATGATCCATCATTGAAATCTTTCACTCTTAAGGAATTCACTTCTCTTTTATTTAACGGTTGTGACGTTTTCAAACCATATGCTGCCCATATAGATGACATCTTCCAGGACTTCATCTCATATAAGGTTCGAGTTCCCGTTGCAGGGGCCATAATCCTGGATGAAACTTATGAGCGGTGCTTGCTAGTGAAGGGTTGGAAAGGATCAAGCTGGAGTTTCCCTCGTGGGAAAAAGAACCAGGATGAAGAAGATGATGCATGTGCTGCTAGAGAGGTTTTGGAGGAAACCGGGTTTGAAGTGTCAAAACTTCTTAAAAAAGAAGAGTATATTGAGATGGTTTTTGATCAACAAAGGGTTCGGCTCTTTATAATCGCTGGAGTGAAAGATGATACAGTCTTTGCACCTCTCACAAAAAAGGAGATTAGTGAAATTGCCTGGCAACGGCTTGATGAGCTCCAGCCAGGAATTGGTGATGTCACATCTCGTACTTCCAGCGGCCTTAGACTTTATATGGTTGCTCCATTTTTGAAGTCTTTAAAAGTATGGATCTCTGCCCACCAGCGTCCAGTAGCACCTAGACCTCATAGATCGTTGAAAGGATGCAGCGTGTGGAGGGCCACAGGCCAAACTAGAACAATTTTTCAAGGGGGGCTAAAGCATAAAGAGTGCCCTGTTTGGTGATTAGTTGTTAACAGTGACTTAGTTGTATTAACTATTTTGACTATCTGGTGTATTTAGCGGTTTTGACAGACGGGCTGAGTTAACTGATTCTCTTTAAGTGTTTGGTAAAATTAGATATTTGTGATTAGTTGTGGGAATGCAAAGTTTCACCTAAAGTTTGTATGAATTTATTCAACACATTGCTTTTATTAATTATTAGATTTTTATTACGGAGTATTTAGTACTACGGTCACGAATGTTGTAATGATTAAAAAGAATTTGAAAATGTTATAGCCAGAATTTTCTGGGTAAATGTTAATATCATATCTCACATTTCATTTTTTCTTCTTGGAGAGACTTTGGAGTTTCATATTTTCTTTGAATGTCCTATCTGTGTCTATTTCTAGTGATAGACATGAGGTCTCAATGCTTGGTTGGATAAAAAACAGATCGAATTGGCATTCATTACTGATTGTTACATATGGGCGGCGTGAACACATAGATACAAGGGTAGCTGTCACGGTTTTCTCTGATAGTTCATATTCGTAATAATCAATTAATGATAATACTTGTTACACATTTAAAACACTCTCATAATATTTCAAAATATAATTTTACTTATTGTCCATGTATAATATAAATTGACATGATTTTCATTGTTAAATAAATATATAAATATATTACTACCTCTGTCCCAAAATACCTAGCCAAATCTTAAAATTTGGATCATGGTTTTGGTTAGTATAATATTACGAAAGTGAATTTTATACTTTTGTAAAAGTACTTTTAACAAAGAACATTCTCATATCATTTTAATAGTATAAATAATTTACAATAAATACATATAATTGGTCGAAGTTTTGAATTTGGCTATATTTTGGGACAAATGTAGTACTTTTTTTTCTTTTTAGGGTATTACCGTTGCAATTTTTTAGTGTGGGGACGGACGTCGTCTTCCTCGAGTAATTTGGCTATAATTACAAATGTAGTATGGGAACGGACGTCGTCTTCCTCGAGAGATCGAAACGGCTAAACGTAGGGGGAGAGGTTACCTCGATGTACGCGTGAAATGGTGGTGCTATCGGGCTCCTTCTGGGATGAAGACGGTCAACAATGGACTGGCGGCAGCAGCAGGGGTTCCTTCGTTCTTCGGCATAAAACCAGTCCGGTGGCCACTTCGGCGAACTCCGACAAAGCTTTTCTCCCTCGTTTCACGACCGTTTCCAAATATTCTTTCACCGTTGGATTCCTCTCACAAAGGGGAAGGTTTCAGAAGTGTTTTTAAGGCTCGAATCTTAATATAACGTTGGGTTGGATTCTCATGTGTATATATATGTATATATATATATATTCGCAGGTTTATTTCGTGAGGTTGAGGATAGCGTGAATGAAGGACGTCGGGTAGAGGTGGTAGAAACTCTTGTGCATTTTGAAAAGGATGAACGCAGGGATATATACACGTGGAGGAATCTTTTGGTACGTTCGTTAGGTATGAATCCGACCTAGGCATGTGCATTGTACTAGCTTTGTGTCTCATACCTTTGTTTTGGTGTGAATTATCATTCGCATTATAAGAATGGAAAGACAAATGCATATGGGGACATGTATATGTGGTCCCTGAATGTACATGGAGTATGTCATGTGTGTTGGTCGTTGGTTACATGTGTACTATCTCTATTTGTTAGTCCCCTAGATTTTGATAAACAGTTATTGATGATGCCAAAAACTCTTCTGTGTTCCTCCCCTCTTTTGTAGCACTAAGAAGTCAAGATATTGTATCTATCTCCAACCAAGTGCTAGTGAAATATTATCCAAAAAGTGTCTCATCCGAACTATCAAGTTAACAAATAAATATAACTGGAAAAACATAAAAAGCAATAAGGTAATATTCTATTATCTTAAAAAGGATTTCTCATAAATCCAACCAGTTAAATTTATTTGTTACATCAAATATTTCGAACAAATAAACTATTTATTAGAACTGGAATACAAAATGCAATAAGGTAATAATTTTTACCTTAATAGGATTTGTTATCCTACCAGTTAAATACTTGGTTTATGTTCGGAATAAGGGATGAGCTACACACAACCAAGAGTGACCAAAAGTCAAAAGAAAAATATTTGTATTAAGTAAAGTATACCGGCAAAGTCAAAATGCAATAAGGTAATTCTTACCTTAAAAAGGATATTTAAATCCTACCGGTATATATTTACTTTATCACAAATTAAATTCGTCACAAAAAGGAAAATACACATGGTGGGCATTAGAAGCTGATTTGTATTCTGAAGTGACACATAAATGTACAAATTGCTGATACAAATTAAATATTACCGGAAAAGTAAAAAATGCAATAAGGTAATATTTATTTACCTTAATAGGATATTTTAGATCCTACCGGTATATTTTATCTGTACACAAATTTTCTTGGTCACAATAAGAGAAAGGCCCGAAAAATCATACACTGAATATGTATGATTGGAAGACAAAACTATACCTGCCTTAAATGCTAAAACAGGTACATGGACCTACACGCATGGGACGCACACCCTCAAAAGATGCCCAGAGATTATTGGAGACAGAAACATCCTCCATAAATACTGCAGCACAAGAGACAAAAGTACTGCTCGTACTCGCCAGAAGTTCAACGGTAGAGATCAATTTATCCTAACCAACGGATAAGATTGATCAGCCAAAAAGCTTATAAATAGAGGTTGAAACGAAAGTTTCTAACCAAGCCTGAGCATCCTAAGTAGAGAGATATTTCACTGAGCAAGAAGTGCTATTCTATCCACGACTCTCTGCTTAGACTCTTGCTTCACTAAACTTCTCAGTATCAAGTATTCATTGCCAAAATCCTAGAAGTTTAGTTCCTAGTTGGAGGTTAGAACTTTCTTGTAACCACAATCAGAAATTGTTGTAAACACTTCAGGAGGACAGTTGTTCCCGGCCTGAGTGTAGTTAGATAGGTTAGGAGTACCTTTTGATCCCCACTGGATCAATTGGGAAAAACCTAAAGGATTGAGTAGCTTGGAGTGGTGTTGTACTCCTCGTGAAACACCTTCAATCTAGGCCAGAGTTGTCAAGGCTAGATTGGCACTAAGTGTATTGGGCTTAATACATTAGTGAAATCCATTTGAAATAGGATGGGACTGGATGTAGGAGGATTACACCACCTCTGAACCAGGATATATCGTGTGTTGATTTCCTTAGTCAACAAAGCACACACCCAACACTTCTCGTATAAGAAATTGTAGTTTGCCAGCAGCATTTTAAGCAGTTGTCTTAACTGACCCAACTGCTTATCCTACTGCTTAATCACTCACCTTTTCTTGAGATAACCTTTTCACAAGAGCTTCGCAACATCACTGTCTAAAGGTACACTTTGCCAGAAATCACTTCTCTTACTGAACCAGGTGGCTCAGCAGTTCCCTGGTTTCACTCAACTGCTGAGACCTCTGCCCAGGCAAACACACCTTAAATTCTCAAGCTCAGTATCCAATCAGGAAGCCCTCATCACATTATACAAGGTCACATAATCACTAGAAGAGTCGCTCTATCAGATTCCAGTAATTCACTCTTCGAGTATAGCAGAGACCTCGGCAGTCCCTTGGTGACCACCCAACTGCTGAGGCCTCTGCTCATACAAACGTACTTCCTGTGAACATCTCAAGTATCATCACAGTCTCATAACATCTCTAGTAAGAAGGCAGTCTGAACTAAGCTATGAATCCCAGTTTATAATATAAGCAGGTGACTCAGCAGTTACCTCAGTACCACCCAACTGCTGAGACCACTGTTGAAATACAGCTGTAGCTTCCTTTCAACTAAAGGATATTGTCCTACTGCCTTCATCATCCTAAACAATATTCCATCATCATTTTTATCATAAAGTCTGTATTTGTCTAGCAGTTGCCTCAGCAGTTCCCTACTACCCAGCCAACTGCTAAGCCAACTGCCAAGCCAACTGCTAGCTATCTAAGTCCAATCTTCCCTAGATCAGAAAGTGGTTAAAACATCCATTATATAAAGGGTAAAGACTTCCGCTGTGCATCTATTAATCTCTCAAAAGATTATAGATCAACTCCTCTAGAGGGAAATCTTTGTAAAGGTCAAAAAAAGATTTAAAAGTCTATTCACCCCCCCCCCCCCCTCTAGACTTTTACCCTATCCGGGACCATCAAGTGGTATCAGAGCGGAGTGTTCCTAGAGTCAGTCTCTGACTAATTTGAACTAAAGATCCAAACCACTCAACTCCCCAAACACTTTCTGAAATGGAGAAACGGTTGGCAACAGATTCTTTGCCTAACCAAAACATGTATGATGACTGGAGAACCAAGGATGTCTGGGATGAGCTCTCAATGATTCAATCAGTCGATGATCAAAAAGTCTCAAGTGATGAAAGCAGTTCATCAGGAGATAAAGAAGAGACTCTGATTTGTCTCTATGGAATGCACCATGTCGAAAATTTCTCCAATGACTGCTCTATGGCCGGAACTACAAGCAATGATAATGATGAGGTATTATCTAGTTCTTCAAACAGCTCATTTCACTCTAGCTGTTCCAGTGTTGACATAGAAGCTCTACTCCTTCAATTTGAAAACTTTCAAAAGGATCACCTTCTTTTAACGAACGAAAACTGTAGACTTCAAGTTAATCTAATAGTAGCCCAAGCTCAAATGGGTGAAGTGATAAAGAGAAATGATTTTCTTGAACTCGAAAACTTCAGTTTAAAAGAAAGGTTGAGCTCCCTCACTACCCCTATTAGTGAGGAAATCCATCACAACTGGAAGAACACAGGATTGGGATTCACACCCTTATCCAAGCCATTTGAAGACTCTTCCAAACACTCTCCTACTACAAAACCACCACAATCCAACAAGACACAAGGAATTCAAACCACCAACAACCTCACTCCCAAACTCTGTCAAAGAAAAGGACTCGGTCCTCCTCCAGACCAAAATCCAAACTTCCCTACAATTTCAACTTCTTGAATAACCAACCAAATCAAAGACTTGGTTGGCAACCAATCAAAAGACCAACAACTTATCTCAGAAAAAGCTGATCACTTCTAATGCTCATATTCCTTCACCCCCTCACACAAGGAATAATGATCACAATCATATAGCCTTTTCTCATGGAAACATAAATCCAAATGGCTATAGACCCATCAGCTCAAATCCAAATGGTCCTAAATTGGTATGGATGCCCAAAAGCATTCAAGGGAAGATGCCCACAAACTTGTGGGCTGTTACTCAAAACCGATAAAAATGGGAAGGTGCTGGAGTAGCCAACATTGAAAAGATTTATCTTCAAGCTACTCCATGCGCATGATAGTTAGCAGGGGGCTACTATCAAGTTATGAGATCTGGAAGAAGGACCCAATTTAACAAATTGGGAATGGGAAGAAAAAGGAGAAACAAAAGGAGCTGGAAAATCCAAATCAAATGCGACCTTTCAATCCAACCTAGGATTGAAGTTCAAATTCAAGAAGCACAAGCCAGCTCCAAGATAATGTTCACAATATGACATTCTCCATGGACATCTGCTTAGATTCCCAAAACAAAGTTGTGCTAACTGGTAAAGGAATAAGAAGAAGCATGGTATTGATTGGAGTTTACAACAGAAGGAATCTGCTCTCCAAAAGCAGATTCATACATGAGTTGAAAATGGCACCACATCATAGCCATCTCAAGCTCAAAAACCATCAAGTGATATCTCCACCTCAATTACATAACCAATCAATAAGTAATTGAGTAAACCATGCAAGGGACTTTTCTTGAAGAACACTGGAAAGGCTCCAAGCTGCCCTCCCAGAGAAGAAGCTAAAAGACTACTGAACTCTGGAATCAGCAGTTGACTCAAGTAAGCAGACCACTGCCAGCAGAGGACTACAATGGGAGATCACTGCCAGCAGTTGACTCATTCTAAATCAACTGTCCAGACGCTTCAGCTGAACTAAGCACAGAGGCTTAAAAGATCCCAATCTTCACTCTACCAGATGATAAAGGAGGATGAGCAGGTATCTCAAATAAACTACATTGGTTGAACCTACATTCTCCTCAGAAAAATATTGATAATTGGAGAAACCCTACCGAACCCTGACTGCACACAAGCTATGAAAGAAGTACTCAAAGAACATTTCCTGAAAGCTTGTGTCCAGATCCTATCATCAGCATTGAGTAGGATAAAGGGATCTCCAGAAAGGAAGGCATCATTGTTAAGGATAAAGCAAAATTCGTGGCCTAAGGGTACTACAAAGAAGGACTAGATTTTGATAAAACCCTTGCCCAAAGTTGCCCCAGTAACGTCCTACTATCAGAATCAGAGTTGCTTCTCTATCTGACCTAAAGACCCAAGAAGATCTCTGTTCAAAGCTCTCTGATAAGGTTCTATGATGAGGCTCTCTGATCAAGGTTC